GAGCGGGGAGCGGGGCTAAGTCTCGCTGTCTTGGTCAATGGGTGCAGTGGGGCTCTGGAGTGAGCATGCACAAGTGCCCCATGGGGACCGAGAACAGGCAGGCGGTATGGGGACGCTCTGTACAATTATGTTACTTCCACAGAGCAGGTAAGTAAAGAGATGTTTGTTACTTTAAAAAAATCCTTTACAATCACTCTAATAGACGGATTCGACCCTTGGCTTGGACCCCAAAATACCCGATAAAAAAAATCTTGGATGGACTAGATTTGGGTTGTCATATTAAACTGTTCCTGTTTTGGCTACATTTTATGCCTGCAGAGAGTTTCCCGTAAAGTGGAAGTCACCTCACCCCCCTACTTTGGCTTTTGGCGTTCTGCTATTGATAGCGTTTTACGACTATATTAGGTTGACCTATGCGAGTAGAAACTGCCCCAAGAGGTTTGAGAAGATATAGTCCACCCAGGAACTTGTATTGCTGAATCGTTCCTTACCATATGAATGTTGTCACATTTCTCTTTCTGCGCCTGCTTTTTCCCCTATCCCCCTATTATTGTATGACAATATGCTGCATCTTTTGTATCTAACTTTTGTTTTTCTCAATAAATATGTTTACTGGTTAAAAACAAATTCTAAAACATCAGCTCTGACCACAAGAACGCACACTAATTAACTGAAGCTACGTTCAAATCAAGTTTGATCAAAATTTATTTTAATCATTTCCAAGTAGATAAAATAATAGGAAAATAGAAATAATTTCTATAAATACATATTTACAGTTATAAAAAACTGTTTAAAAAATAAAACATTACAGATAAATGAAAATGTTTAAGGCACCATTGCGCATGAGTTGCATATTTGGAGGAAACATCGTCCAAACTTGTAACAGTTTACATAACATACCAAATAAAAAAATAACAGGCTCTGTCACGGATGAACTTAAAGGAAAACTCCACTTTTGTTAAAGTTCTTATGTATATATACTGTATGTATGTGTATACACACGCACTTGGCGAAAATCACAAATGAATACATTTGCAGCATGGTAAATTAGCAACGCCATTAAATAGGTGCGTCACCTCGAGACCCACAACTGCTAGGGGAAGAAAATAGGTATTGATACCTATGTGGCTATGGTCATATAGCTAAAGAGGTCATTCCCTCACCTTAATAGGATGCCATGAAAATGAACCCGTCACTTTGTCCTGCATTGTAAAGCACAGGTTTACAGTAAGGTACCATTGTCCCGGATGCAGTGGTGGATTGGACTTCATTATTGCCAGAACAATCTCAGTGGTTTAAGAAAAAAAAGAAACGCCCTCTGAATTCCTATAGCTATGAAACGTCTTAGAAAGTATTTGAAAATGAAGAACTGATTGCAAAGGTAGCCTTCATTTTGATATCTGGTTCAATAAAGACCTTTGGGAAAAGAAATAGGCCAATCAAACACATGGAATTATATTTTGGGGGACTTCTGGTCATTATCATCATACAAAGTTCCCCCAGGTGATTTTATTCTAAGAAAGTGACACTTATAAAACTTTCTTAAACATTTAAAAATCCAGCAGCTTCAGACTGAGATGGAACAGTAATATTCAAAGAATAATTCCAGGCTTCCGCATATTATACATAGTTACATTGGTCCAGTTTTCTGAATTAATGCAAAGCATTCTCTGATTGGATGAGGTAGGGTGGTTACATCACGCTCTTCACCCTGTCCAATCAAAGAACGCTTTTTATTCATTCAGAAAATGCAAAGCATTTTTTGGACCTCCTGTATTCACAAAGCATTAGGCCGGCTGCTCTCAGCACAGGACCCAGAAGCAAGTGGCAATCACTGGAGTAGCAGTATATATTTCAGTGATTTCCAGAGTCTTTGGCCAGGTATGTCACATACATAGTTACATTGGTCCAACTTGGACCAATGTAACTATGTATAGCTTGCCTGGAATTCTTGAAGAGGTTCTTCACCCTCCTTGAAAAAAAAAAAATAAAGTCAGCAGCTACACACATTGTAGCTGCTGACGTTTAATAAAAGCACACCTACCTGTCCAGGTATCCAGTTCCGTCCTCATCTGGGCTTGTTCTTCGCTGGTCTTTGAGTCCCTGGCGCCGGCATGTTAATTGTGGAAAGCCAGCTGTGACTACTTGCGGCTTCACAGCCGGCTTCCCTCTGCACATGTGCAAGCTGCGCTTTGTGATCATGCCTGAGATGGGAGAAGGTTCTTAGCAAAACCAGGTCCATAAGAACAGGAGGGCATAAAGCAGAACTTCCCTTTTAGGGTGAAGTTCAGCTTTAATTTTATTAAAAAACAAAATAGCTACTATAAAAATTGTATATGGAATATATTCTAGCAAATGTAGAGTTTTCATTTAAGGTTTTTCTCAAGAATTGCCAAGTTTAAGACTGAGAAATTCGGAATCCTTGTGACAAAGCCTGTATATGCCCAGTCTTAATTCCCCGCACAGAACTGGTTTGTACCATTGATCACACAGCACATATAAACAGAGTCAATAAAATTATACTGCTCGGAACAGTGCCATTAAAAATAATACACAGCATTTTTTTTCCATAATGATTCTAAAAGCAAGATTGTAAACCAAACTTTATAGATCGCTGTAAACAAAGTTACACTCTTCCCAGAGGTGAAGTAAATCATGCCACATACACAGAATAAAACACATACGTAAAAGTAGAACAAAAATGCATTACAAATTAAAATGTGGAGTTGCAAAGTTCTTCAATAGCTAACCAGAGAATGCCTGATTAGTCTCTGTAAGAGATCTGTAAAATCTGAAACACTTTGTGAGACTATTGAATTGTGAAAACTGCCAAAAACAAAACTTTGCATTTCTGAATACTGAACAAGCAGAAAAGGGAGAGAAAAACAAAACACTATTGTGTGATTGAACACATCCATGACTAAAATATGTTTTGTTTGAATTGGACTTTTAAAAAACCTGTGCTGTGAGAATTGTGGAGGCTGTCCCTGCTAAATGGCTAGACAGCCTGGCTTCCTCCATCCTCTGTACTTTATTACTCACTCAGCTGGAACAAGAACACAGCTATTTAAAGGAGAAGTAGGGCCAAAGCTCTTTTAGCCCTACTTCTGGGGATCACAGAAGTGCACTTCATACTGTACTTTGTGACCTTATGAGCCTACTGTCGGGTGATGTCACTGAGCCGGCCCAGGCTCTGGTGAGATCCCAACTTTAAAGTCATAATCCACCTAGATGCCTGCACTGGCAGCTGGCTTATCCTCTCGGGAGCCTGAGCCAGTCTCTCCCACCCCCTCCACAGCCCGGCGCTCCAGTGAGTGCTGGAGGGGCACAGCAGACTGACGGTCACTGGCTCTCTGCTCACTGGAGACTGAGAACTGAATGATCAGTTCTCATTAATTGCTCAGTTCTTGATGTAAAGACAGTGGGGAAGGGGGGGGGAACAAACATACATACTTGCTTAGATGGCTACAGCATTGGTCCAATGTTGCATCCATCTAGGCGAGTATGTATATATATTTTTTTTTTTACATTTCCATACTTCTCTTTCAAGTCAAAAATCTTATTTCACTTGTTCAATGCAGGAAGGTGCCTCTATATTGAATCCCTGAGGTGTAACTGTTGCATTGTTGGCTGGATTTAGGAAAATCCAGGGGTGTCCAAAGAACTTAACATCCTGAGGATTTACCACCCTTCCTGACCAGACCAGTTTTTTGCATTGCGACACTGCATTACTTTGACTTACACTTGCGCGGTCATGCAACACTGCACCCAAATTAAATTTATGTCCTTTTTTTCCCCACAAAGAGAGCTTTCTTTTGGTGGCATTTGATCGCCTGTGCGTTTTTTGTACTATACAAAAAAAAAACCGACAATTTTGAGAAAAAAAAAAACACATGTCCAGTAAAAAAATTTTCACTGAAGAAAAAAAAAATCCCAATATGTGTAAATTAATTGGTTTACGTGAAAGTTATAGCCAGTGACACCAATACAGTAATCAGGGTTACTAAAAAAGCACTGACACTGCACTAATGGCACTGGGCATGAAGGGGTTAGCATCTGGGGCGATCAAAGGGTTAACTGTGTGCTGTTTTACATGATGTCCGTGTTTGTGCTTCACTGCAAGCACACTGCTTTGTATAGCCATGCAAAGCAGTGTGCTGGAGCGGACAGGGAGGAGAACTGTTTTGTTTACTAACCCCCCCCCCCCCGTGATATATACGTGATTTTGCACACAGCAGAAATACTGCTACAGGACGGCAGCTATGGGGCGAAGCTGAAGCAGTTAAAAAAAGTAATGCATGCACTACTTTTAGTATGGTGTGGTGTGGTGCGATTTCATCCCATTCAAATGAATGGGCACGAAATCGTACCGCATAGACCCACATATGAATCGCACAGGAAGGCACAGCACGTTGCTGTGCGATTCATAGCAGGGCATAGTGTGAACCAGCCCTTAAGGAATGACCATTTTCCCCATAGTAAAAGTACATTATTATGGAAAAATACAAGGAGTCACTGATCTACTTCTGCCATCAGTAAGCAGCTGTGAAACATCTGTGCATGACAAGATGGATGATGGGACATGATAGGCAACCATGAATGACTACTGGTGTGGAAAAGCCTCTCCAGCCTTTAACACCACCGGAAAATGTGCAGACGAAGAGCATATCACACTGGTTGGCAAAAGATCTGAAAATACATCAACACACCATACATTGTGCATTCCAGGAATTTGTTTCAAGTAAAAATGGTACAGCTTCTCAAAGGTAGCTTGCAAATCCAAACACACTTCATACAAACATTCCAACCCAAACTCACTCTCCGTCAGAATATCTGTGTGCAAAGCCTGTTGGACCTTTGCTGGCAACCTTTTCCATGCTGTACCGATTTTTTATTTGAAGGAAATCTGTGGACCACAGAGCATTGTAGAGCGGATGATACAGCATATTTCAATTTGTGATAACAGCCTGTTACACTGTTGTAACAGTCCAATTTTTCCATCATCTGTTTCGAATCAGAGAGGCGACATATATCCAGACAGAGTAGATGTTCTTGGGATAGGGATGAACATAAACAGCGAGAGCAAACTCCACATTGGGCACTATGTTGTTGTGGACTCCAGTGCTGTAGACGGCTTCTATGAGAGGGGTCACTTCTGAGAACGCCATGTTGATCGGGAAGCCGGAAAACTGAAACAAGAACGTTTGATTATTGCTCTCGTCATGTATAGTGAAACATGAAATTAATCAAAGGCATCACTTAAATTGCAACGCTCTATGATATAGGCCAGGCCATAATAAGTCCCAAGCCCTCCATACTACAGCTGTTCTGCCCCTGTATGTGAAGACCATAGCAAAAATGGAGGCCCTACAACTCTGGACTCTGCACTTCATATACAGGGTGGCTAATAATCATGGACTCCACAATACTGAACCAGACCTTGAGTATTAGAAGGCACAGCTAGCCTGACCATCTGGAAACAGCTGGTTTATGTGGTGATCGATGACCTTATTAAGTTATGTCACAGAAGCTACATTTGCAAGAATATATTAATATTCAATCCATAAGAAAGCAGCCTCCATTGATTGTGTGTATGTATATGTATACACTCACCCGCCACTTTATTAGGTACACCTGTTCAATTGCTTGGTAACACAAACTGCTAATCAGCCAATCACAGGGCAGCAACTCAATGCATCTAGACGTGGTGAAGATGTCTTGCTGAAGTTCAAACCGAGCATCAGAATGGGGTAGAAAGGGGATTTAGGTGACTTTGAACGTGGCATGGTTGTTGGTGCCAGACGGGCTGGTCTGAGTATTTCAAAAACTACTGATCTATTGGGATTTTTACGTACAACCATCTCTAGGATTTACAGAGAATGGTCAGAAAAAGAAAATATCCAGTGAGCGGCAGTTGTGTGGACGAAAATGCCTTGTTGATGACAAAGGTCAGATAAGAATGGGCATTCGATTTCAGCTGTGACATTCAGATAGTAGGGTCAGAATTTAGCATAAACAACATGGATCCATCCTGCCTTGTACCAATGGTTCAGGCTGGTGGTGGTGTAATGGTGTGGGGGAGATTTTCTTGGCACTAGCAAGGTGTACCTAATAAAGTGGGGACACACACACACACACACAAACACACACACACACACTTTTGTTCGGCCAATAAAGCTCACCCTGTAATCTCCTAGTTGTCTCTGCAGTTCTGCCCTGTGGTCCTCCTCCACATCTTTGCCATAGTTCTGTTCTAGTAATGGCAGGAAGTGTCTCAGAGTAGATGTGCAGTATCTGTTCCAGCGAGTGGGATGTCTCGGCCTCCATTCCATAATCTTCTCTTTTAGCAGTTTCTCAATCCTTGCAAAAAGAAAGGTTAGAAAATCACCGTTACCACTAAAGTACATGGCCTGTGTATTCTACTACTAAGTACTGTTTAACACTTTTAATACATCTGATTCTGTGTGAGGAATGGTGAACTGATCATCCATTGGCTGTATATATCCTATATACACACACATACACTCACTTACCACCTATTAGGTACACCTGTTCAATTGCTTGGTAATACAAATTTCTAATCAGCCAATCAGATGGTAGCAACTCAATGCATTTAGGCATCTAAACGTGGTGAAGATGACTTGTTGAAGTTCAAACCGAGCATCAGAATGGGGATTTAAGTGAACGTGGCATGGATGTTGGTGCCAGACGGGCTGGTCTGAGTATTTCAAAAATTGCTGATCTACTGGGATTTTCACACAACCATCTCTAGAGTTTACAGAGAATGGTCCGAAAAATAAAATATCCAGTGAGTGGCAGTTGTATGGACGAAAATGCCTTGTTGATGTCAGAGGAGAATGGGCAGACTGGTTCGAGATGATAGGCAAAAGTAACTCAAACAACCACTCGTTACAACCAAGGTATGCAGAATACCATCTCTGAATGCACAACACGTTAAACCTTGAAGCAGATGGGCTACAGCAGCAGAAGACCACACGGGGTGCCACTCCTGTCAGCTAAGAACAGGTAAACGGAGGCTACAATTCGCACAGGCTCATCAAAATAGGACAATAGAAGAATGGAAAAACATTGCCTGGTCTGATGAGTCTCGATTTACCTAGAGATGGTTGTGCGTGAAAATCCAGGTAGGCCAGCAGTTTTTGCAATACTCAGACCAGCCCGTCTGGCACCAACAACCATGCCACAGTCAAAGTCACTTAAATCCCCTTTCTTCTCCATTCTGATGCTTGGTTTGAACTACAGCAAGTTGTCCTCACCACGTCTGGATACCTAAATGCATTGAGTTGCCGACATGTAATTGGCCGATTAGCAATTTGTGTTACCAAGCAATTGAACAGGTGTACCTAATAAAGTGGTCGGTGAATTTATATGGGGACATTAGTGGTGAGATTTCCTCTTTAGAGTTTCCAGTTTTACACCCCAACCAACCCTGATGTGTCATGCCTATCCATAATGTGCACTGAAATGGAAACTAAACTTTGAAGAGTAAATTCCTTTGTACTGTGTGCTTCAGGCAGGCAGACCTAAGATATACAAAATGCTGGAGTTAACTACATAAATAATAAGCAGGTAGGAGATTCTACTCACTGGCCCCCGCCCAAAGCTGAAATATCTGTTTTCGGAGCACTGATGTTAGTAATATCTTAGTTCATAAATATTGTCTGTGAAGGTTTGGTGAACATAGGAAGCCACTTGGATGAGTGTTGAATCCTCAACAATGGGTATGACTAAGGCTTTGGCTGAAATGCATTAGCATTCTGCTGGGTTTGTTTGGATGTCCCAGATCGTCTTTTAACAAATATTGTGAAGAATTGTTATCAGGCTCGAGCGCTCTCTGAATTTATGCTTTAGCGGTGTACAGGAACCTGAGCTGTTGAAACAGACATCCCTGAGGTGTACACTTGTTTGGACATAGGAATATCACACGAATATCTCCAAACGGGTGACCACTACTTGTCTAGAAGTATTAAGCTGAAACTACACAGAATCGGTTTCCAGCTTTTACGAGAATATCTGCTATCAACTCTATGCAGCTTCTGATGTATCCACTCAAAATCCAGTGAGCAGACCAAGGGACAATGCTGATACGTTTTGGCCAATGCAGCTCTACATTACAGGCTGGGAAAGGATCCCTAATGCTTTTATTCCTTTGGAGCAATTATGTTTGTAGAGTTTGGGTGGCTAAGAAACAAGTTTCTTTCTGCTGTAAAAAAGAACTTTGTTACATTGCTTCATTACGTAGTACTGAATATCTTGTATACAAAGCAAACCGAAACAGAGGTGCTTAACCAAAACATCGAATTTATTTATGGCTTCAGAGTGGCCATGCTCTCCAGAGCAGTGTTTGCATTTGCAAATATCACGTGAGCTGTCCTAAGTGTCTGCTATCTTACAGTTTACCATGGTCTCAGCATACATTTCCTCTACCTGTCTTGAAGTTCGGATGCAGCAGCCTTATCTGTGCGCTGATATATTAGTTCTTCAGGCTAGGAGATAAACATATAGAAATACAGTATTTTATTACATTTTAACAAAACCATTTCTCACTCTGAAAAGACTACTTTAACCAATTGCCTACCAGGCACTTTTACCCCCTTCCTGCCCAGGCCAATTTTCAGCTTTCAGTGCTGTCGCACTTTGAATGACAATTGTGCAGTCATGCAACACCCAAACAAAATTTTTTTCATTTTTTTTTTTTTTTTAGACCACTTTCTTTTGGTGGTATTTATTTATTCACCACTGGGTTTTTTTTTGGCTAAATAAACTAAAAAAAAGGCCAAAAATTAAAAAAAAAAAAAAGTTTTTTTCTCAGCTACAAAATTTTCTAACAGAAACTAAGTAATTTTTCTCCTTCACTGATATGCACTAATGAAGCTACAATAATGGGCACAGATAGGCGGCACTGATTGGCATCACTTGTGGGCATGGACAAAAATCACTTGTGGGCATTGGCAGGCATCATTGATGGGCACTGAAAGGCAGCATTCATATATGGCACTGACAGGCGGAACTGATGGGCACTGACTGGCACTAATAGGTGGCACTGACTGGCACTGAAAGGCAGCTCTGATATGTGTCATTGCTGTGTACTGGTAGGCACTGATATGAGGCATTGATGGGCACTGACAGGTGACACTGATGGGGCTACACTGATCACCAGGGCACTGATTACACTGTTCAACAGGTAAAAAGTTTTGGGCATAAAATTAGCTAATCTGACATAATTTTGGGGTGCTGAAAACGAAGATGACCCTAAAAAAAAATGTTGATTGGCTCTAGTTTCCATGATATATTCACCCATCTAATGACGTAAGCCATTCAAAATTATGATGCAACTTCAGCTGCATATTGCGCAATTGATACTGGTGACCAATAGAAAATTGCATGTATACTGAGATGATGCAATATTAGCCTTTAATTGCATCACTTCACTGCATAAAAGCTGCAGTATCTGTAGCTGATTGTAGTTCGACAGCGTCTTTACATTTCGTTTTCTGCTTATATAGGCTACTCAGTAATGCCTCGAACTTGTGTGAATAAAGCAGATAATTTCTGCTATATCTGCGGTGAAATAACTTTTATCTCACAAAAAAGGAGGATAACAGGAATGATTAAGAAAGCCTACAACTTGTATTTTGGCTGCAAGATAGGAGACCAGGACAAGAGCTGGGCACCACATATATGCTGCAATTCTTGTGGGACGGCACTGGAGCAATGGTTGAATGGAAAAAAGGCATCTATGCCTTTCGCTGTGCCAATGATTTGGAGAGAGCCAACAGATCATGTTAGTAATTGTTACTTTTGTATGGTGCCTCCAACAAAAGGGCTAAATAAGAAGAAAAAGTTATCTGTGCACTATCCAAATATTCCATCGGCAATACGTCCAGTTCCTCATGGAGAGGGGCTACCAATTCCTAATGCACCAGAATCCTTCGTGGTTGAGTCAAGTGAGGAAGAACCTGAAGCGTGTAATCACGTGCAGTTGTAAGAGATAGCCCTTTCCTCGAATACAAGAGAAAAGCCAAGAGAAGCAAAACCGACACAAACTGAAGACAAAACTAGTGAGAATCCTAAGTATTAAAATGATTCAACTTAGCTTATGGCTATAATTTTTCTTGGTAATCCTATGCAATATATTATGCCATTTAGGCTTTGTTATGTAGTCAATATCACTTGCTTTATATTTGTGGAAAGACATCTATCTATATAATTATTGTGCATTATGTAGTCATTACACCTATAGTAGAAAACTTTCCGTTTACAGAAAAACTAGAGCCAATTAACAAATTTCATTGTTATATTTGAACTCAGAATGTGAAATTCATTAGGAAATGAATCCTTTTGTTTCCAAAACTGGCAAAAAATAAAAAATTTGATGAACAGTGTTATTAGTGCCCTGATGATCAGTGTAGATGTCCGCTCTGTGTAATGCCGATTACCAGCTCTCCTCTCCTTATGAGCTATCAGTGGGAGGAGAGGACTGCTGATAACCGAAACTTCCGATTTACATGTGATCAGCTGTGATTGGACACAGCTGATCACATGACAGAGCCGGCATCATCAGCTCTTTACAGTGATCGGTGATCCGCTGTGTCCCAAGACACAGCACACTGCCGATCGCCAGGGCGCACAGTTAGAGTGGCAGGACGTCATACGAAGTCCTCCCAGAACGAGAGAACCGCCGCCCTCCTGTCATTACCTTATATGGGTGGGAGGCGGTTAAACCGTTTGGGCATTTTACATTTTCAACTTTGTCCTGCCTAAAAGTCGACTCAACAAGGTGCCTGCTATTACTTTTGTTCGATAGAAGAGACTTTTCTGTACTCCTCTGTAATAGCTTAAAGCAGAACTTTACCCACAAATGTTACTTTCTCCAATCTGCCTCCTCCACCTTACACAACTGGAATTTTTTTTGCCATTAAATACCTTTTAATCTTTTTGGCATGGACACACTTCCTGAATCCTCACCTAGGTGAGGATGACATGATCAACCATCTGCTGCCTGGGATGACAGTATTTCAGGGTATTACCATGATATCTTGTGCATTCGCACGCCCGTAGTTTATCATGTGCAAGCTGCCATAGGTCTTTATCATTACCCATAGACTGACACAGTTGCAGTGACATGCACATGCAGGAGGAATTTGTGCATTTATTGATTAGCCAAAAGGTCTCTCTGAGATTCCCTAGACCAGGAAGACCAACGGCATGTCTGCACAAGCTCATGAACTAAGATGGCAGCATAGGAGCACAGCAACGGAGAAGGACTTTTGGCATCAAGGAGAACAACACTGGACTCCATGGATTAGTACGTGTTTTTTAATTTGCATACAGGGACCGTTATTAGGCATCAGAGATAGCATTTTACCCACTTAGTGCCAAATCACATACATGTACAGTTGTGTTCATAAAATAGCAGTGTGTTGAAAAAAGTGAATAAAGCTCAAAATCCTTCTAATAGCTTTTATTTCCATACACACAAATGCATTGGGAACACTACACATTCTATTCCAAATCAAAACATGAAGAAAAATATATCAAATTTGTGTTGTTCCTCTAAACAAATTGAAGAAAAGTGAATATTAGACTGTTCAAAAAAATAGCAGTGTTTGTATTCTTCTTTACAAACTCAAACATTCACTATATAAACTGAAAAATGTTTGAAGATTTTGCTTTCCTTTGAATCACTTAATGAATATTTAGTTGTATAAGCACTGTTTCTGAGAACTGCTGTACATCTGTGTTGCATGGAGTCAACCAACTTCTGGCACCTGTGAACAGGTATTCCAGCCCAGGATGATTGGACTACATTCCACAGTTCTTCTCTATTTCTTGGTTTTGCCTCAGAAACTGCATTTTTTATTTCACCCCACAAGTTTTCTTTTGGATTAAGATCCGGGGATTGGGCTGGCCACTCCATAACGTCAATCTTGTTGGTCTGGAACCAAGATGTTGCACGTTTACTGGTGTGTTTGGGGTCGTTGTCTTGTTGGAACACCCATTTCAAGGGCATTTCCTCTTCAGCATAAGGCAGCATGACCTCTTCAAGTATTCTGATGTATTCAAACTGATCCCTGGTATGCGATACATAGGCCCAACACCGTAGTATGAGAAACATCCCCATATCATGATGCTTGCGCAACCATGCTTCACTGTCTTCACAGTGTACTGTGGCTTGAATTCAGTGTTTGGGGGTCGTCTGACAAACGGTCTCCGGCCACTAGACCCAAAAAGAACAATCTTACTTTCATCAGTCCACAAAATGTTGCGCCATTTCTCTTTAGGCCAGTCAATATGCTCTTTGGCAATTTGTAACCTCTTCAGCACGTCTTTTTTCCAACAGTGGGACTTTGCGGGGGCTTCTTGCAGATAGCTTGGCTTCACATAGGTGTCTTTCTAATTGTAACAGTACTCACAGGGAACTTTACACCTTCTTTGATCTTCCTGGAGCTGATTGTTGGCTGAGTCCTTGCCATTTTGGCTATTCTTCTATCCATTCAAATGGTAGTTTTTCGCTTTCTTCCACGTCTTTCAGGTTTTGGTTGCAATTTTAAAGCATTTGCGATCATTTTAACTGAGCAGCCTATCATTTTCTGCACTTCTTTATGTTTTCCCCTCTCCAATCAACTTTTTAATCAAGGTACGCTGTTCTTCTGAACAATGTCTGGAACGACCCATTTTCCTCAGAATTTCAGAGAGAAATGCACTGTAACCAGCATATACAACATTTGCTGCCTTCCTTCCTTAAATAAGGGCAATAATTGCCACCTGTTTTTCAAAGAACGAATGACCTCACTAATAGAACTCCACATTGCTATTATTTTGAACATGTCCCTTTCAATTAGTGATTCAATTACACAGAATCAGCAGCATGCATGTCATGACTGTTGGGTCTGTTGGATTTCTATTACTCTACTACACCTGCTAGTAAATTATTTGCCATGTAGAAATATCATTCCTACCAAAAACAGTGATTGATCAGGTTAGTGATGTCTGACTGCTATTATTTTGAGCACAACTGTACGTCATTTGGCGTTGAGTGGTTGTACTGGTATGATGATTGCAGCTGTAGGCATCATCCCGGTATAATTTTTTTAAGCTGGCAGCCAGCGATTTGTAAAAATCATCCGAAAAATCAGCATTTTCTTCACTTCCAGTTTCCTGGAATTAAACAGCGCCATTTTTAAACAGGGAAAGCATCTGAGCACACCAATCTTGGTGTGATCAGATGCTCTTAGGGCAGAGGAGAGATTGAGGGTCTCATAGACCCCCTATCTCTCTATAAAGAGTACCTGTCACTGCCTATTGCTGTTACAAGGGATGTTTACATTCCTTCTGACAGTAATAAAAGTGAAAAAGCAAAAAAAAAAAAAAAAAAAAAAAAAATTAAAGAAACAGTGTAAAAATAAAAATAAATAAATACAAAACTAAATATAACCCAAAATCTGCGCTAAGAGAAATAGACACCAATATGTAGCAGCTGATACCAGGCACCTCAAAACAGTGTTCAAATAAAGTGCAGCACTTAAAACATTTCAAACAGAAATCATGATAAAATTGTGAAAAATAATAAATAATCTCAAAATGTTCATAAGTGAAATATCATATGGTGAGATCAAAGCAGAACAGTCCCCAAATGCTGTGATGAGATCAGAAGCCTTCCAAAGATATCAAATGTGACACCAACCACTTGCATGCAAGGCTTACCAGGAGATATGTGACCCCCTGCTAGGAGTGGTCAATCTGCTCTTTTATGAGATGTTATTGGTGACATCCAGGGAAATGGACGATTAGATCATCCTCTGGACACCCAAGGAAAAGACAGGTAATCCTCCCAAGCCAATCTCCCTGTATATGATGGCTCCAACCACTCCAAAATGAGTTGTAAACCAAAGTCTCACAGCAGCTACTTCTCCTGCAGCTGACTGATCCGCTCCTGAGCCCTGATCACACAGCACAACAGCTCTGCACCTCTGTGACAACCTAGTTGCCAGATATGGGTATAATATTGTGTTTGTATGCATTAAAATTCATTAATTCACCAATTTATTTTATAGTGTCTCTTCCAAAAATGTAAATGTTTGTGGGTTCTAACTTATTTTCGAGCAAAAAACCCCCCAAAAAACGTTTACTTCTCTAAACAAAAAGTGTCAGAAAAAGGTCTGGTCTTTGAGGGGCAATAATGTAGGGTGAACTGAGCCAATATCTTGGTCTGAGATCTGAAAATCTTTGGACCATAATATCACTTGTTATCGGGCAGAATTAAAGGCAATATATAAGGACTCAATGGTGGTGCTATTTGTTAACCTGCTCCACACTGCAGTATTATTACCAGCTTAGCAATTTTAAGGTGTTATAAACTCAAACTCAAAGAGCTGGAGAAGAGAAGGCTAATGACTAAGAAATGTCTAAGCACAGAGCACTGAAGTTCCGGCTCTGTAAGTACCTGCACACTGGCCAATCCTGGATTTGGATAACTTCTTGAGAAGAAAGCTTTCCACTGGTTGGATCGGCCCGTATCAAAACTTATGCTCATCGGAACATCATATTGCTGTATATTAAACCAGATCTAAATAAAAAGCACACCAAAAATCTGATCAACAAATCAACATAACAGCAGACCTCTAACCCAATTCCCAATTCTTACAAATGCTCAATTTTTTTTTTTTTTTAACATCCAGGATCAGTGATACGTACAAAAACAGTACAAGGCAATACATAGCAGAAACAGTATCTAAGCACAAGTAACAGGAGATACATTTCAAGGCAGTGCAACCATTCAAGTGTAGAAGGGCAGGATTCATATAAAGAGGGAGGGAAGAAAAAAAAAAAAACAAAAAAACAAAAAAAAAAAACTCCCAGAGAAGGTATTAAAGTACACTGTCAAGGTCAATGCAACCAATTTAAACAAAACAAGAACAAGATAACCTGTTTATTGTGCCATCCATGGCTGCCAAAACCTTATATTTTCCAGGACAACCCTTATTAATATAGATTAATTTGTACATAGGTAACACTGCATTAATGGAAGCTTCCCACAAAGCTACCGAGGGGGGTGGGTGAGGGAGGTCCAATTATGCAGTATCTCCTTTTTTAGATCGTACAATAGGTAAGAAAGGAGCAATTTAGTACAGCGAGGCCTTTGCTCATTGTCCTGTATACCCAATAATGCAAGCTCAGGGGAAACGAGAGGGACAGCTGTAGATGGACATTGATTCAGGTTGATACAGGTGAACACCTTCGTTCAGAATTGCCCCACTCTAGGACAGGCCCAGAACAGATATGGAAATAAGTGCCTTCACATGTATGACAGCAGGGAGAGGCAGCAGATCTCCGTGGGTAGATTCTGTACAGTCTCTGTGCAAAAATTTGTCTGTATCAGTTTATACCTGGAGGAGAAAACCAACTTGGAGCTTTCCTCAAAACACTCCTCCCAGGACTCCCTATCCACAGTGGGAATATCCTCCTGCTACTTATCCACGGCTTATCCATGTTGGGAGAATCCACACTGAGGAGAGCCAAATAGAAGGAGGAAAGGGGTTTAGAAAGGGACTCCTGCGCAAGAAGATCTTCTGTTGGATCAGTCTCCAGTCTAGGGAGAGTAAGAAACTGTGCTCGCGCCACATGGTGCAATTGGTAGTATCTAAAGTACATCCAACTAGGCAATCTGTGTTTGGTAGAAAGTTCCCTGAAAGATAGCAAAGTACCAATAGGCATGATGTCTCTAGGTGTCCTAACACTGTAACGAGTCCACACCTGAGGGTCTGGCAACTGTTACAAATGGGATAAAGATGGACTGCCCCACAATGGACAATATAGGGACCATGGATTGGGTTGTAGAAAGCGTTTCCTAGTTGCAGTCCAACCATGAAGCATAACCCTAGTAGGGAGTGAAAGGTAAGCATAGGCCCGATGCAGTTCCATAAGGGAACCCAACAGGGCCTACCATTCTTATCCCCATACTCAAACACCCTCTGAGCTGTAGCAAGAAGGGGTTTTTTAGTCAAATCAACTTTGAGTAACAATATCTCCCTCAAGGCTTGTTGCCAAGATAGATAGTGGTCACGGTCAGGATGTTCAACATAGTCTGCCTCCCGCTGCTGCGCCTTAACCTCCAATTGTTCCAGAGACTGCACAGAAGATCTCTTTACATTGGCTATACGAGAGGTATATTCACCTCTAACCCAAGTCTTAAAATGCATCCCACACTGTCAGAGGGCCAGTGGAACGTTCGGTATTCAGCCAGTATTCACAAAGGTCTTCAGGTATAGATTCCTGGACCACTGGGTCCATGAGCCAATATCTAGATAGCCTTCACAGTCCCCGTTATAAATATAAGTACGGTATCGCCTACCACTAAACTAACCCAAATATCCTTTCAAATACTAGAGAAAAATACTTCCACCCTTGAAAATGCAAATCATTACACAAAAGATCTAGTATGTCCAATAACTCCACACCATAAACCCAAGTGCTAAACTAAAAACTACAAATCCCAAAACAAAGTACAATGTCCAAAATAGAAAATTATCCGTGTAACATCACTCAAAAATCAAATAAAATCACTGCAACAAAATAAGTGTCCAACATCCAGCTTGTCAAATTCTTTGGTGCCGAGTCCCTCCACTGGCTCTTAGAGGACAGCAAATGCCTCAAAAGAAAGAAAAAAAACTACATACAGCGAGAGGTTTATGGTGTGGAGGTATTGGACAAACTAGATCTTTTGTTTAATGCTCCGTCCCCAGCCTCCATCTGCAGTCAAACGTAGGGAGATAATGATCGGGGCATGATCTGAGATGCCCTTGGCCAGGATCTCAGCAGAGAGCACCAGCCGCAGAACTGAGGAGGAGGCAAATACCAGATCTAAACCAGGTAGAGATCGATGAGTGGTAGAATGACAGGTATATTCATGGTCTGAAGGATGGAAGTTCTGTCAAACATTGATCAAAGCAAAAAGTAGAGGCCCATTGGGAAGGCCCGGGGTCCAGGCAGTAGAAGACGGGAATCTATCAAGGTCCCGTGAGGGCACCAAAAATTAAAAACACCAGCAATCAATACATTAACAACACCATATTGAGCTATCAATTACATAAGCGTATATAGGAGAGAAACATCAGCAGGTGGAGGTAAATAAAGACCAGCTATCACAAATTCAATATCTGCAATTAAAGCATGGAGTACATACCTGTCCCCCTGGATCAATCTTTACCTCCATGAGCTTAAATGGTAAGGACCTGTGTATCAAAACGCTAATCCCCCTTGCATAGTTGGCATGTAGCATGGTAATGGGCACCCACCCAGGCCTTTCTAAGGCTCAGTATACGAGAACCCATGAGGTGACTCTCTGGCAGGATACAGACATGGGGGTGAAGTCTGCAGACGTAGGAAGATACCAGAGATCTCTTCATGGCTGAATTAAGACTATGGACATTCCATGAGACAGAGTTAACTTAGCCATATCGTGGGGGTGGTATATGAATGAAAAGTATTAAAAGGCACAGAGGATCCAGTTATAGGTCCCACAGTAGAGTGGGGGGTAGAACTTCCCGGCCCAAATATCATACCAATCACACAGAATTGGTGCGCTATAGCCCTGAAAGGTAGCCTTTCTTAAAACACATTGTTAAAATCATACAGTCCCAAAAAAGGTCAGCAACGACCAACCCCCCACCCCGCATCACCCAGAACTCTTGAAGATGCTTGGATCCAATAACATGCTCTGAAGGAGCCAAACTAAGTGGAAGATGTGGGCATAAGTCCGGACACCAACCAAAGCAGAGTATCAAACTTCACTGCTCTATGAAGATGCTGGAATGTCTAAGGCAACGTGAGTCACAGTCTCCTAGACCATGCCAGGGGCACAAACTTAAGGTCTCCACAGGAAGGCACAAATGCAACAGGTGAAGTATATGTAACTGTTCACAAAGACAACGCCCCCTGATGGTAAGAAAAAGTGCAGTCGAGTGACAGAGATAATCATAGGCAACAAGATCAGGAGTTCCTAGGCTTGACAGTGGGGTGATAGCGCCTCACAGTTGGCAAACACACTCTGTAAACAGGAGGCTCAGGCAAATCAAGCTGACAGGGAGGACGTTCATCTCTGTAGAGGCAGTTATTCCAGCCAGCATCTTTATAAGCAGTGAAGAAGCGTACAGTCTTTCCATCAATCACATGCAGTTTAGTAATAAAAAGCACACTATATTTGATGCCCTTGGCCCGCATAGCAGCCTTGACCAAATCAAATGACAAACGCAGCTTCTGGGTTTCCACAGTATAATCTGGGAATAGCAGAAATTTAGTGTTGTGGTAGAACAGATCACCAGATGCTCAGGCAACCCGGAGGAGTTCATCCACATCACTATTATTCAGCAACCGGAAGATGAATGTGCGTGGCGGGGAACCCTCCGGGCCAGGCCTAGGTGGTATACGGTGTGTCCGCTCTACAGTGAACTATGGGGAGAGCTGGGCCATAGGCAGCAAGGATCGGAACAGCTCTTCCACAAATACAGAGGGATTCTTACCCTCTGGGAGCCCCATGGTCCATAGATTGTTACGTCTGCTGCGGTTCTCTGCATCCTCCGTCCTGTACTCCAGGGCCCTGATTTTTGTTTGTAGGGAACGGAGAGAGGTGGTGTGCTCCCACACTACATCCTCCACATGGCTAATCTCCTGCTCAGCATTGGCAAGACGGGAGAAGATCTTGTCAAAGTCTTGACGAATCAACCCGACATCCATCTGAACCGCCGCAATCTTGGAGGTCAGTACTGCCTGGCAGGTGGAAATAGCCGCCATCACCTCAGGAATGCCCAGCGGCGAAGGGACAACGGCATCCCAATGGTCAGTCTGGGATGCCATGTTGGTGAAGCGTACCTGCGAGCCACCACTAGAGGGTTCAGACTGGCCGTGACTGCTGCAGATGGGGGGAACTGAAGTTCCTTACCCCCTTTTGGGCGCCCAGAAGACTTATAAGGCATCCGAGGCTCAGAGCCCACCACTCAGGAGCCAATAAGTCCAGGATAGGATAGGATAAAAGAAGGATCGTTGTCCAGCAGAGCTCTGAAAAGTACGTCCTCTCAGACCACCATCATGGCCATGCCCAAACATGCTCTTTCAGAGTGAGGCAATTTAGTTTCTAGACAACACGGACAGATCTTCTTTCAAATTACTTTTATTTATAAAGGGTAAATACTAAAAAAGGGTATAAAAAAAAAAAAAAGCAAAAAAAGAAATCAATTGAACATACCGTCCTATGCATAGAGAAGAGTCCCAGTCAGAAAAGCTTACAATCTAAATCCCTTTACAAGCAACAGAACAGAATGTTTAACTGCATATACTTACATTGTCTGCACTGACCAGGCAGCCGACACTTTGCAGTGGACAGAATGTGTCATACTGACCATAGAAGCAACCATTGCTTGGATTCCATATGATGTATTGGTTCTGTTCCAGTGTTAGTACATAAGTAGTGGGACCCTTTAAAGGAAAGAGGAACTCTTTAGACACATGGATAAGTTCAGGTTTACCTCTAAGGCCTCATTAGCACAGGCAAAAAGGGTCCTCCTGCGGATTCTTGTGGCAAGTATGCTGCAGATACTTTGGACTACCTGGAACCCCAGCCACATCAGCAGTGGCTGCTCAGCCTGTACATATACAGCGGGTAAAATAAGCATTGAACACGTCACAATTTATCTAGGTAAACATATTTCTAAAGGTGCTATAGATATGAAATTTTCACCACACCTTGGTAACAACCCATGCAATCCATACATGCAAAAAAACCCCAAAACAAAAAGGTAAAGAAATTAAGTTATGTGTAATAAAATGTAATGACACAGGGAAAAAGTATTGAACACATGAAGAAAGGGAGGTGAAAAAGGCATGGAAAGCCAAGATACCAGCTGAAATCAATCAGTAATTAGGAAGCAATCCTGCCCTTTATCAAGGAAAATTAATATTAGTCGGTTCAGTCTCAACTGATGGCCTATAAAAAGTCTTATTACCAAGATGTCACACAAAACAATCTCATGATGGGTAAAAGCAAAGAGCGTTCTCAAGACCCTTGTAACCTTATTGTTGCAAAACATACTGATGGCATTGGTCATAGAAGAATTTCTAAACTTCCGAATGTTCCAATAAGCACTGTTGGGGCCATAATCTGGAAGTGGAAAGAACAGAATTTCACCATAAACTGGCCAAGACCAGGTGCTCCTCACAAAATTTCTGACATAGGAGTGAAAGAATATTTGTCCAAGAGCCAAGAAAAACTTGTGGAGAACTTCAGAAAGACCTGGAGTTAGCAGGTACAATTGTTTCAAAGAAAATAATAAGTAATGCACTCAACCACCATGACCTGTATGCATGCTCACCACACAAGACTCCACTGCTGAAGAAAAAGCATGTTGAAGCTTGTTTAACGTTTGCTGCACAACATGTAGACAAGCCTGTGGAATACTAGGAGAATATAGTCTGGTCAGATGAGACCAAAATCAAACTCTTTGGATGCCATAATACACACCATGTTTGGAGGTCAAATGGCATTGCACATCACCCCAAAACACCATACCAACAAAGAAATTTGGAGGTGGGAACCACCATGGTGTGGGGCTGTATTTTAGCATATGGTACTGGCAAACTCCATATCACTGAAGGAAGGATGAATGGAAAAATGTACCAAGACATTCTTGATAAAAATCTGCTGCCATATACCAGGATGATGAAGACGAAACGAGGGTGGACATTTCAGCAAAACAATGATCCCAAACACAAAGCCAAGGAAACGCATAATTGGTTTCAAAGAAGGAAAATAAAGCTGCTAGTATGGCCCAGCCAATCACCTGACTTGAATCCAATAGAAAATCTATGGAAAGGACTAAAGATCATAGACTAGGCCCACGAAACCTTTAAGATTTGAAGACTGTGTGGAAGAATGGGCCAAAATCACACCTGAGCAATGCATGCGACTAGTTTCTCCATGCAGGAGGCATCTTGAAGCTGTCATTACCAACAAAGGATTTTGTACAAAGTATTAAAATACATTTCAGTTAGCGTGTTCAATACTTTTTCCCTGTGTCATTCCATTTTATCACACAACTTAATTTCTGAACGTATTTGTTTTGGTTTGTTTGGACTGTATGGGTTATTACCAACGTGTGGTAAAAATTTCATGTTAATAGCACCTTTAGAAATATATTTAGTGAAAAAAATGGTGATGTGTTCAATACTTATTTTAACCGCTGTATGAATAGTAGCATCCAGCGGTTAACTGCAGTTAGGGACAGATGTTAGTCTCTGCATGCAACCTATCTGCCTCTGGGGCAAACATTTTTCCCTAACTGCAGGTAACCACTGGATGTTCAGATACATACATGTACTGTAGATGCTTATAGCAGTAAAGAGCCATGACTCCTGTCAGCCTGCCTTTTAGTTGTACAGGCTGAGAAACTGCAGCTGATCAGAACACCTGAAATCCCAGTTGAATATATCTGCAGTACATCTGCTGCAAGAATCCACAGAGGTGCACTTTTTGTCTTTGTGAACAAAGCCTCATAGGAAATGTGCAAAGCTACCATGAGATATTTAACATACTAGATAAACACAAAAGGTTACAGCCAGACAAAAAAACAGAAGTCATTAATAAGTCGTAAGAAGAAGTACTATAGATCTGTATCGTGTTTCTAAATGCAGTCTTGCAAAACAGCCAATGACTCATCTCCAAAGCCCCTGAAACCCGTTAATAATGTGCTTTGTGGACAGCACTAATTTCAGCAGCATGCATCACCTGAGCAGAGGACATGCCCAGATGTAATGCTTGCAAATGAATTCAAACACTGGAAATCAAAGTGTAAATCTCATTACAGGTTCTGCATCTAGAAGAAGTGGAGTGTTTTGTGCTGAGTGAAGATCAGCCAGGAAGACAATCCACTACTCTTACAGTTAATGTGAATATTGTCTGTTAATATATTACTAGAGGTTTAAGCAAGAAAAGTAATTTTTGCTTTTACAGTGCCTTGAAAAAAAGAATTCACACCCCTTGAATTTTTCCACATTTTGTCATGTTACAACCAAAACGTAAATGTCTTTTATTGGGATTTTATGTGATAGACCGACACAAAGTGGCACAGAATTGTGACGTGGAAGGAAAATGAGAAATGGTTTTTCAAAATTATTTACAAATAAATATGTGAAAAGTGTGGAGTGCATTTGTATTCAGCTCCCCTGAGTCAATACTTTGTAGAAGCACCTTTTGCTGCAATTACAGGTGCAAGTCTTTGTGGGGATGTCTCTACCAGCTTTGCACATCTAGAGTGAAATTTTTGCCCATTCTTCTTTGCAAAATAGCTCAAGCTCTGTCAGATTGGATGGAGAGTGTCTGTGAACAGCAATTTTCAAGTCTTGCCACAGATTCTCAATTGGATTTAGGTCTGGACTTTGACTGGACCATTCTAACACATGAATATGCTTTGATCTAAACCATTCCTTTGTAGCTCTGGCTGTATTTTCAGGGTCATTGTCCTGCTGGAAGGTGAACCTCCAAAATGTCAAGTCTTTTGCAGACTCTAACAGGTTTTCTTCTAAGATTGCCCTGTATTTGGCTCCATCCATCTTCCCATCATCTCTGACCAGCTTCCTTGTTCTAGCTGAAGAAAAGCATCCCTACAACATGATGCTGCCGCCACCATGTTTCACGGTGGGGATTGTGTGTGCAGGGTGATGCGCAGTGTTAGTTTTCCGCCACACATAGCATTTTGCTTTAACGCCAAAAAGTTCAATTTTGGTATCATCTGACCAGAGCACCTTCTTCCACGTTTGCCGTGTCCCCCACATGGCTTCTCGCAAACTGCAAACGGGACTTCCTAATGCGTTCTTTCAGCAATGGCTTTCTTCTTGCTATTCTTCCATAAAGGCCAGATTTGTGGAGTGCACAACTAATAGTTGTCCTGTGGACAGATTCTCCCGCCTGAGCTGTGGATTTCTGCAGCTCCTCCACAGTTACCATGGGCCTCTTGGGTGCTTCTCTGATTAATGCTCTCCTTGCCTGGCTTGTCCGTTTAGGTGGACGGCAAAGTCTTGGTAGGTTTGCAGTTGTGGCATACTCTTTCCATTTTCGGATGATGGATTGAACAGTGCTCCGTGAGATGTTCAAAGCTTGGGATATTATTTTATAACCTAACCGTGCTTTAAACTTCTCCACTACTTTATCGCTGACCTGTCTGGTGTATTCCTTGGCCTTCATGATGCCTTTTTTTCTCCAACAAACCTCTGAGGGCTTCAAAGAACAGCTGTATTAAAACTGAGATTAAATTACACACAGGTGGACTATATATACTAATTAGGCAACTTCTAAAGGCAACTGGTGCCACTAGATTTTAGTTAGGAGTATCAGAGTAATAGAGGCTGAATACAAATGCACGCCACACTTTTCATATATTTATTTGTAAAAAATTGTGAAAAACATGGATAATTTTCCTTCCACTTCACAATTATGTGCCACTTTGTGTTGGTCTATCAAATAAATCAAAATAAAATACATTTAAGTTTTTGGTTGTAACATGACAAAATGTGGAAAGTTTCAAGGGGTATGAATACTTTTTCAAGGCACTGTAATCTATCAAACAACAGTAATACACTGCCGACTTCAGTGTTACAGGGCAGACCTCTGGGATGGCATTTCCGATGATAAGCCACGCCTTCTTTCCCATCGCCAGAAAATAATTACACAGTAGAACTGCATGTTCTTCTTCATCTCCCGCCAGGAGGTCAAGGAATTGCTGATTAAGAGAAAAAAAAGAGGAAAGGCTACATAAGTCTGTGTTGTTTTAGGAATTTATAGAAAACACACCCTGTGACTCCCTTCAGTAAGGTAAAAATCTAAGTACAGTTTATTCTTAGATGGATTTGAATGTATTGTTAAATGAGGACAATTAAGTTACATATTGTTAACGAGCAGGAAATGGACTATAAAACAAGCTCTCACTGACCTCTGCAGTTACAGGGCCTTTGGAGCAATTCATCCTCACATTTCACACTTACAGCACTTAAGTCTTTCTCAAAGCCAGCTCAGCTCATCTTGCTCCCTCCTCCGCCACATCAGTGACTTGGCAGACTTCTGATCTCTAATGTAAACACTAAGTAGGAACCCTGGGGGAAAGAGGGCAGGGGGCACTGAGCTGCTGAGAGAATGACTTCAGTGCTTCTGCTGTGAACTTTGAGGATTAATTTCTCCACAGTGCCTTCAGCTAGAGAGGTCAGTGAGCTTTTGTTTTAAAGCTCATTTACTGCTTTTGTAATGTAAATATATTTGAATATTTATAGTCTATCAACAGGTAACCTTTAAGAGGAACCTGTTCAGATAAAAATATGGGAGCTGTTATTACTGATGGATTTTAGAGGTGCAAGGCACCATAGTTGATATCCTCATTCTTCTTTCATGTCTGACCCAAAAATCAGACACATATACATATATATATATATATATATATATATATATATATCTCAAGTGTCTTTGATATATTTTTAAATGCTTGTTCCAGGTTAGTAGACACCAAGTACAGCAAAGGGTTATTCATGCATGCCACGTGTACTCACATCTGACGTGCTCCATAAATTACAAATTCCTGTGAATGACACATTGTCCGGTAGGAAGGGTATAAGGGATACATAACGTGACACGAGTTCCAAAGACACAACAGAAAACTTCAAGTACTTTACACAACCAGCACAATGTGCAAATATTCATTAAAGTGCAAGTTAATGGTATACTTTCCTATTAATTACTATATGTATGTATATAGCACCTACAATTTATGAAGTGCTTTACTTACTGTACATTCACATCATTTCTTGCCCCCAAATGAACAATGAACTTTAATATCCTAGGTCACTATTTCACAGGTGTATATATACCCACCAGGACTAATTTAGACAGGATCCATTTAATCTACCAGCATGTCTTTGGAGTGTGGGAGGAAACAGGAGTACCTGGAGGAAAACCATGCAAGAACAGGGAGAACACGCAAACTCCATTTAGATAGTGTCCTGACAGGGATGTGAACTGGGAACCAGATGCTAAGCCACTGTGCATCTCAAGATAAACATAGATGCTGCCATTGCTTAATTTGTTCTGAACGTTGCTAGTTGCCTGGCTATTATGCTGACCCTACCTGTCAGGGATCCCCTCGATCCCCGCCGCGTTGGTCCCGGCGCAGGCGCAGTATATTCTGAATCCTGTGAACCTGTACCCTGTAAGTTATTGACCCGGATTGAACCTGACCTTGCTGTTTTCGCCTGTTCTGACCCTTGCTTTGCCTGACCTCTCTCCTGAATGCCCCCTATTGGATTTGACCTGCTGTTGCTGACCTGGCGTGTGACCCGACCATTCTATGCCCGCTGCCTTGTACCTTGCCGCCCTCTCTGTTACCGACCCGGCCCGTCTGACCCTGCTCATCCATCCATCCATCCCGTGCAGTGGGGTCTTCTGACCTCCTCACATCAGACTCTTCCCCGTGGGAGCCCCTTGCGCATACTACTACCACTGACGGACGCACCCGGTAGTCACGACCTGGTCTCAGGGAGCTCCAAGTCCATCCCCACCATCAGGGGCCCTGGTGAACAAGCACCCTGGGACTTAGACTCCGTGCGCTGGGGACGCCTATTCAGTGGAGTGCTAGTAGTACCGCCGGGCGGTCCCTTACAGTACCAGAAGGCCATGACTGAGTCTAGAGGAGGTCCCTCGCCGCTGGAGGAGATCTGCAGGCACCTATCCAATTTGACACAGGCCGTATCGGCCCTGCAGGATAGATGTCAGCAGATTGAAACTCAATTCCAGGCCTGCACTATATCCGTTCCTGCCCCACAGGCCGCGGTCCCCACACCTCCAGCAGCCCCTGTGCTGGTGTCTGGGGCACTCGCACCACTCCCGGCGGCCGGCGGCCGACCCCCGAGTACCCTTACCAGAACGTTTCCACGGGGACCGCACACGGTTCAGAGCATTCCGCGAGTCCTGCCTCCTCTATTTTGAGCTACAACCCCGAACCTTCGTGACTGAATCCGTGAAGGTGGGGTTCGTCATATCCCTCCTGCAGGGTGAACCCCAAGACTGGGCCCATCGATTACGGGGAAAAAATGACCCTCACCTTGGTTCGGTTGACAGTTTTTTTGATGCTATGGCCATCCTTTATGATGACCCGCAGCGGGCAGCTTCTGCTGAAGCTACTCTGTACACACTCCGGCAAGGCCGCCGAGCGGCGGAGGAGTACGCATCTGAATTTAGGCGGTGGATGGGGGATACTCGCTGGAACGAGTTCGCACTCCTGCATCAGTTCCCGTGTTGGCCTATCAGACGGCCTGAAAGACGAGCTCGCCCGGGTGGAGGTACCTGAGACTTTAGAGGACCTAATAGCACTGACCATTAAAATTGACCGTAGACTGCGGGAACGCAGGTTTGAGAGGTCCGGCCAGGGTCATGGAAATCCCTGGGGATCATTTCAGGGTCCCAGTCAAACACCTAGGCCAGTCATCCAAAACCGGCCACCTGGAGACAACCCCGAACCCATGCAGCTCGGCCTGGCACGGCCTAAACTATCCCCAGAGGAACATCTGCGCAGACGATCCCAGAACCTGTGCCTCTATTGTGGAGAAGCTGGTCATATGGCGCGTTCCTGCCCGCAGAAACTGAGTAAGTGCACCTCTTCTTCCTTATCCCTTGGCAATGTTGGTCCATCCCAATACTTAGTGGTGCCCCTTTCCTTTCAGCTTCCAGAAAGGACCGTGGAAGTATCGGCCATAATTGACTCTGGGGCATGCAGCTGCTTCGTGGATATTAATTTTGCTCACCAGCAGGGTATTCCCCTTCAATTGAAACAAAAGGGGTTCAATATTTATTTGGCCGACGGTTCCCGAATAAAATCGGGGGTAGTGAACCAGGAAACCCCCTCCATCACCACTGTCATTGCCGGCCAGCACCAGGAACTCCTCCGCCTGGATGCTATAGCTTCACCCCTCTTCCCAGTCATTCTGGGGCTCCCATGGTTACGGGCCCATAACCCCCAGATTGACTGGGAAACCGGAGTAATCACGTTCCCTTCCCCATACTGTCGGATATACTGCCGCACTTCGGGCCCGGGGACCCCCCAAATCCTCCTGTGCTCTGAGGGGGAAGCTGAATTAAAACAAGTAATCCCTGCGGCCTACCATGGGTTTCTAGATGTGTTCAGCAAACGGGGAGCTGATACTCTACCCCCCCACCGCCCTTATGACTGCCCCATTGACCTGTTACCCGGCTCAGAAATTCCTTTTGGGCGAATCTTCCCCCTTTCAGAGCCCGAATTGGGGGCCCTAAAGGAATATATCGAGGACAGCCTCCAGAAGGGGTTCATCCGCCACTCCACTTCACCGGCGGGGGCGGGAATCTTCTTTGTTGAAAAGAAGGACAAAACCTTAAGGCCATGTATCGATTACAGGGAATTGAACAGGGTCACGATAAAAAAACCGTTACCCACTACCGTTAGTACCTGAACTGTTCCAAAGTTTAAAGTCAGCAGTAGTTTTTACCAAGCTGGATCTGAGGGGGGCGTACAACTTGATTCGCATAAGGGAGGGGGACGAGTGGAAGACGGCCTTCCGCACCCGCTTCGGTCATTTTGAATATCTGGTCATGCCGTTCGGGTTGTGTAATGCTCCGGCCACGTTTCAACATTTTGTAAATGATATTTTTTAGGGATTTTCTGGATGTCTTTGTGATCGTTTATTTAGACGACATTCTGATTTTTTCCCCGTCTCTGGGGGAACACAGAATACATGTAGCAAAAGTATTGGGGCGGTTGCGCGCAGCATGGGTTGTACGCCAAGGCAGAAAAATGTTGTTTTGAACAATCCAGCATTGCCTTCTTGGGCCTGATTATCTCCACCGCGGGGGTCGCGATGGATCCCCAGAAGGTCGCTGCAATACTGGATTGGCCTGAACCCACAGACAGGAAAGGCGTCCAGCGATTCATCGGCTTTGCAAAATTTTTACCGGAAGTTCATCAAGAACTTCTCGGTGGTCTCCCCCATTACTCAGCTAACCAAGCTGGGGACCCGATTCAGATGGACACCAGAAGCGCAGGAAGCTTTCGATGCCTTAAAGAAGCTGTTCACTTCGGCACCCATTTTGGGTCACCCAGACGCCGCTCTGCCCTACATCTTGGAGGTAGATGCATCGGAGAATGCGGTAGGCTCCATCCTCTCCCAACGAAAAGGCACCAAGGAACTGCTCCACCCGGTAGCGTTCTTCTCACGGAAACTGACCCCAGCGGAGAGGAACTATGATATCGGTGACCGTGAGCTACTAGCGATCAAAACGGCGTTAGAGGAATGGAGGTACCTGCTGGAAGGTGCGGTGCACCCCATCTTAATATTTACTGACCATAAGAACTTAGAGTATCTGAGAACTGCCAAGCGTCTACGCCCGCGACAGGCGAGATGGGCACTATTCTTTTCAAGATTCAACTTCCATATTACGTACCGGCCGGGATCAAAGAACACTAAGCCGGATGCGTATCACGGATGTACGAAGACGCCAAGGAGACCCCAGTACCTGACACCATCCTATCCTCGGGTAACTTCTTGGTCCTTCAGTCGGACCTTCGTTCCAGGCTAATGGAGGCATCCACAAACTTCTCTACCCCAGGCGGAGGGCCACTCCAGAACAAGGGGGGACTCCTATGGAGGGAAGATCGAATTGTGGTGCCGGAAGAAGCTCGAACCCTGGTCTTGGGGCATTGCCACGACCACCCAATGGCGGGGCACTTTGGCCCAGAAAAGACCCTGGAACTTCTCCGACGCTCATTCTGGTGGCCAGACATGGCTAAAGATTGTAAGGGCTATGTCAGGTCCTGTGTCACCTGCCAGAAGAACAAGCCCTCAAGAAACAAGGTTTGGGGTCTGCTGCGACCCTTACCTATTCCTGAACGGCCTTGGCAAAAGATCTCACTAGACTTTATAGTCGAGCTTCCGCCATCCCGAGACCACACGGCAATCCTGGTAGTCGTGGACCGCTTGTCCAAGATGGCCCACTTCATCCCGTTGAAGAAGACCCCCTCGGCGGCCGAGACCGCGCGAGTCTTCATTCGTGAGGTAGTCAGGTTGCATGGGGTCCCCGAAGACATTGTCTCGGACCGAGGGGTCCAGTTCACGTCCAGATTCTGGAGAGCACTGTGCAAAGCCCTGGACATCAAATTATCTCTCTCTTCTGCGTTCCACCCTCAAACTAACGGTCAAACCGAAAGGACCAATCAGACCTTAGAGCAATATTTGAGATGCTATACCTCATTTACTCAAGATGACTGGCTGCCACTTCTTCCTTTAGCGGAATTTGCGTATAACAACGCCCGCCACTCAGCAACAGGGCAGTCCCCGTTCTTCGCCAACTATGGCTTTCACCCAGTCTTCCTCCCGGATTTGGTGTCGGAATGCCCAGTACCAGCAACACAAGATGTGGTAACGTTCTTCGCTGCGAACAATGAGAAGCTTCAAGTGGCCATCAGTCGGGCCCAGGAAGACTACAGGAAAGCATTCAACAGGAAACGGAGAGGAGATCTGGTATTGCGGCCTGGGGAGAAGGTTTGGCTGGCGACGTCCAATCTAAAGATGCTTTGCCCGTCAAAGAAATTGGGACCCAAATTTATAGGCCCCTTCTGCATTAAACGGATGGTTAACGAAGTAGCCTATGAACTCGCCCTCCCTGACACGCTCAAGATCCACCCGGTCTTTCATGTGTCCCTTCTGAAGCCTGTGGTCCCAGATGCCTTCCCTGACCGGGAATCTAGACCCCCGGAAGCGGTAACGGTCGAAGGAGAAGAAGAATTTGAGGTTGAAACAATCCTGAAGTGTCGAAGGAGGGGAGGCCAGACCCAATTCCTTATCAAATGGAAGGGCTATGGTCCTGAGGACAATTCTTGGGAACCAGCCCATAATGTCCATGCACCCAGACTTGTCCGGAGGTTCTTTCGCGATCACCCGTGGTGGAGAGATCGGGTGGGCATCCGGAGGTTGCCCGTAGGGGGGGGGCAATGTCAGGGATCCCCTCGATCCCCGCCGCGTTGGTCCCGGCGCAGGCGCAGTATGCCGCCCGGCGCAGGGACTCGAGCACTGGTTCCGGGCCGGCCGCGGCGTTCGAGTTCGCGCATGCGCAGTAGAAGCCGCGGCCGCCCGCTGGGCACCAATGGCAGCGCAGGGCGGGATATTTAAACGACCCTGAGCTGTCATTCAGTGCCTTCTGGTCTTTCCTGCATTCTGAATCCTGTGAACCTGTACCCTGTAAGTTATTGACCCGGATTGAACCTGACCTTGCTGTTTTCGCCTGTTCTGACCCTTGCTTTGCCTGACCTCTCTCCTGAATGCCCCCTATTGGATTTGACCTGCTGTTGCTGACCTGGCGTGTGACCCGACCATTCTATGCCCGCTGCCTTGTACCTTGCCGCCCTCTCTGTTACCGACCCGGCCCGTCTGACCCTGCTCATCCATCCATCCATCCCGTGCAGTGGGGTCTTCTGACCTCCTCACATCAGACTCTTCCCCGTGGGAGCCCCTTGCGCATACTACTACCACTGACGGACGCACCCGGTAGTCACGACCTGGTCTCAGGGAGCTCCAAGTCCATCCCCACCATCAGGGGCCCTGGTGAACAAGCACCCTGGGACTTAGACTCCGTGCGCTGGGGACGCCTATTCAGTGGTCCCTGCTGAACCGGCTGAATTTTGATCTCTGTATGGCTGGCTTAAGAGGGCAGGGTTGTCACCCTAGGACAGGAAGTGAGCTAGGACTAAAAAAAAAAAAAAAAAAAAAAAAAAAAAAGACTTCGCTATTACCTCTTTTCCATAATATAGGGGGCAAGGTGTTCTGTAGTTTAAAGGGGTAAAATGGGCAGGGCTAATAACACTATTGAGAGAATTACATAGTCTGGTTGAAAAAAAAAAAAAAAAAAAAAAAAAAAAGACATGTTTACCTAGTCCAACCAATAGAAATAAAAACCACACAAATAGAAAACCTTCATATACACATTCCTGTACCACAGTTGATGCAGGGTAAGGCAAACCCCCCCCCCCCCCCAATAAAGCATGGTTCTATTTGCTTTAGCGGGAAAAAAACAATTTCTTCTTGAATCCCTAGGAGGCAATTGGATATTTCCTGGATCAACTACCCCTGGTGCCGTTACGTATAAATATTAGTATCCAGTTATATTTTGTGCATCTACTGAGCTGGTGAGAACTAGCCTTTCCATAGTTGGAGGGTAAATCTTTTTTCCTTCAGACGTAAAGAGTGCAGAAGATTTTGTGCAGCAGAGAGTGCAGAGTGCATGAGATCTCATCTGCTCACTTGATTATTGGTATGTTCAACAGATTTTTTTTGCACTACTCTAACATATAATAAAATGCTGTACACAGTTGTTTTACCAGACCAAAATAAAAGAAGTTCACCGTTTGGGTTTACATACACTTTAACACAGATGAAGGTTATACTGACAGTCTTCCCTTCAGAAATGTATACTTACTGATGTTGCTTGTACATTGTTGGGGTTGGCATCTAGAAGTTCCTGTGGAGGTTGTAAGGCCTTGAAGTATCGAGTGATGAAAACTGTACTTCCGTTAATGTCTGTGACAGTGGTCAGGCACTGCCGGTTTGGGAATTTTAAAGCTGCCTCACTCTGGAATTTCTCCGCAGCTTGCAGTAGCTTCTCATCTTCTCTGCTGTCAAACTGAGGCACAGCAAGATGTGTCAAAGAACCCGTAAGATAATTGTGATGAGCTTTGTTAAGTGCACAGGGCTCAAGAATCAGTCAAATGAATGAAGTGGGGGGAAAGGTATGGAGCAAAAGCTGGCAATGCAAACTCTCAGGATGAAAGGCATTTTATCACATTATATCACTTTGTATAAATGGTCTATTCAATGTCCAGTTTAGTTTACTGAACATCAAAAATGCAGGAACACCACATACAACACAATCAACCCTGTGTATAACTACCTTTTCCCTGATGGGTTCTCCAGGCACAAGCTGAGGCTCAATGGTAATAAAGAGGGTTAGGAAGGAGCCTTGGCTCAGGCTTCGGACTGATTCATAGCCTCCATCATTTCCCAAGTTGCGCTGTTTGCTGTATCCTAGAAGTACCGGGGGAGTGTCAATCCGGAATGTTCCATCAATCTGTAAATTAGCAGTTACCAAACAGATAAAGTATAATGTAAGCCACCCTTTTTCTCCAAAAAAGAATTACCATGTTGTCCCTTTTATACCCTGTTCCTAATTAAGTCGAGACCGCACCTATCTTCCTTCACTGACAAGTATACACAAGTGGGACTTACTGTATATTATTATATTTCACATGGTTCAGCTTGAGAAGTTTCACCACTGATTTTTCACACATTATATGGACTAGATTTGTTGTTTTTGATTATACATTTATTCATGGAAAGTCACATTATATATAATATACCATCACATATCAGGTCACACAATTTTTGTAATTGTTAAAGATTTAGCACAGCTTATTTGTATTACTGTCACTGAGTGTTTGGTATTCTAACACTATTCTGTGTGTAGCTTTCTCATATACCATTTGTTTTTTTATTCACTTTGTTACACCAAGCACAGAGCTTTTTTTTATATTATTATTTATTTTTCTCATCTTCTATGTATGGAACCGCTGAGCAGAGTTAATACACTTAGGACTCTTGCACACAGGTGGCTGAGCCAATTCAGCATTAGGCTGGCATCTCTTCCAGCTCGGGCAGCCTAGGTGCAATGTACAACCTTCCATAGACATGGCGCTATAGTACTATTCTTTGCCTATGTCTGCATGCTATACGCGTGTTTACAATAGCACTGAAGTATACCTCAGTACAGCAGCGCAATACCAGTCATGTCTATGGGAGGCTGGATGCTGCACCTGAGCTTTCCAGGCAGGTGAAAGATGCCAGTATGTATGATGAACGGGCTCAGCCACCCATGTGCAAGAGGTCTTACACAGTTTAATCATATCTCCTTAATCATATATTTTTTATATTTAATTTGAGTTTTGCCTAAATATAATTTGTCATAATTTCTGCATTGTAGCAGTTGATCAGGAACAGATTTTTACCTTTAGCATCAGAAAAACAGGTATTTACTTACCATAGCGGACTAATCATCAGCTTGTTTTCCTATATCACTTCCTTTCTGCTATACTACTTGATTGTGCTGACCCCTCCCACCAACTTGTGGTTTTGGCTTTTGTTCCCGTCTCCATAGCATAAAAAAAAACTAGGTACAAATTCAAGGAAAGGTGGGACCCCTTTGTGACTGCTGTGGCAGATGTGTAGATTTGGGAACTCAGGAGCGGAGACCTTACCATGCTGTCCCAGATGGCAGTAAACACTGAATGCCTATTTTGGCTGGACTGACCCTTTACGAACAGCACTTAGATTTACGTCCAAAAAAGGCTGCATTCCAATGATGTCACTAAAGCTTGACAGCTTTATTGACAGACAGCAGACAATGTATCCTTCCACTCTATGTCTGACCCTCTATCGCGTTTCAGTTTGTGATTCTCTACGACTAAGCCTAGACGAGTGAAAGGAGATAGTGGGGTGGACTTCGGGTGGAAGGATGCAGTATGTGCTATCAATAAAGCTGCAGAGCTTTAGTGACATCATTGGAGTGCGGTCCTTTTTTTTCATGTGGTGTGTATTGCATAGAATGTGGACAGCTCCTTGTGCTATGGCACCTGGTTGAATTTAGTGCAAGAAAAGTAATGGGTAGCTTGATGTGTTGACACTTTCTGTTGTGTACCAGCAGCATTTAAAATTAGGTATAGCTTTTAAAAAACCCTCTTTAGGCTTTGGTGATGGCTTTCTATCTCGGTCATGAAATCTCAACCCATCATACTTTATTCCTTTTCCCTTTCAGATCACTTGCAGATCTGTAGTTTCTCCAAGACCCACACTTACTTTGGATTGGAAATAAATTGTAGTAAATGGAATTCGGATAGATCCAAGCCAGTGTCTCTCAACTCGTGTATGAACGCCGCTTCCCCTCTCTCGGTCATCCTGAAGGATGTTACAGATTTTATTTAGCCATTAATAGAAAAAAACATTTTAAGTAAGAAATTGTTATATACACCACCATAAGAAATGGTGCAACAAACAACAGATGTGATAAATTTACAACTTACCTCTAAAATATCAAAGCAGACTTCATCAAACACATTGATGAAAACATCATCTTTGACTGCCTGTAAACTAGTTGTGCTGTAATCACCATTAGGAGCTCTAGAGAAGAGAAGAAGCCAAATTATGATCATATAAAACTGTCAAAGAAGTGGCTCTAGCAAACAAGAGAGGGAAAAAAAACACAACAACCTCTAAATACTTTTTTAAGATGATCTGGTATGATTAGAGGCATGTGGTCTTCATCAGCCAAACAGAGACAAGAGAGAGCTGGAAACTAAGAACTGAGACTGGGTTCAAACAAACCTGTATAGTAAAATGCAGCATTTTACCATGCAGGCTAGTGGAATGTCAGCTTTGTTAGTAGCTGTGAAATGTGTGTTATAGAACTAGTCATCAGTATTGCCTGTGGTCTCCCTGCACCTGATCTTTTCCTATTAATGGCTTATCACACCTTGTTCTGTACTGTTTCTCTATGTGGACGTGACCATCTTGGTAGAGGTAGGGCTCTGCTGCTCAAGTCAAGGAGAACAGTGCAGTACTGAGATCACAAAATCTCACTCCAGATTTCCTTAGGCGAGTAGTCACAGGTAGCAGTGCCTTAGATTCGCACTTTATACAGCTGTGATGCTGTATGTATAGCAGTGCCTAGACACACACACAGACACACACCTATTTTCCAGGAAGAATTCCAGACAAAAGCTGGTTTTTCAGCATACTGAACTAAATGTTGCCTATAACATAGCAAATTTTCACTTGAGTTTAGGACCACTTTAAGGATGCTACACTGAAGCTACAGAAGATAGGATATCTGCTATTTACATTCCTGTTTTGTCTTGCATGGACTAGAACAGTGGTCTCCAAAAGGCGATCCTGGGGCTGGCTATGGTCCTTTGCTTGCCATTATCCAGCACCTGGGGGCCCTATTGCTCTCAATGACATGAGACACTATTCTACCACCTAACACCAACAAGGGGGCTCCATTTCTCCCACTGACACCAATAATGAGGCACTATTCCTGCCAATGATACCAACAATGGTGCACTATTCCTCCCCCTAATACCAAATGTGGTGATGTTAATGTCCAATGATGCCAGGAAATGTTCCAGGACCTCGCCACACAGCAGCAAGTAAAAGAAGAAATGGTAACTGTGGAGAAAGATGTGTTGAGGTGATATGTAACATCACAAGGTATGGGGAAGCAAATCTCCTACGGCAAACATGAATCAATACACATTTATTGCATTAAAAAGAACAGGGTGTGTCCTTCCTACAAGGTGTGGTATTAGCCCCAGTAAAATACTAAATCTAGCTCAGGGGCGGACTGACCATTTGGAAACTCGGGCACTGCCCAAGGGCCCGGGGTCAGTAGGGGGCCCCATGAGATGCCCCTGGTACCCTTTTCATAGGCTTTTTTGAGTTTGGGCAAGGACACAGGGGCCCCATGATCCCCTATTGCCCCGGGCCCCATGAGTTGTCAGTCCGCCCCTGATCTAGCCCCAGTAAATGGTAAATCTAGACCCTTCAAAGAGATCTGTCTTGCTACTGTGTACAACTGTCAGTGGACTGAATCCTCCCTTACATGTATAACAGGGACTAAGATTGTAAAAACTGAGGGCCCTATGAAAACATGAATTACTTCTTCTAGTCCAACACTATTAAAACTGAACGTAAGGTGCTCTGCGTCAGACCTCATGACCTCCTCAAGATATAATTCAAAAATTCAAACTTATGATCCTTACTGTCACTAAGCAGACAACTGGTAAAGCATGAAAAACCTCCACTCTTTCTATAGCTGAAACCAAATCCAGAATCATGTAAACTATGTTGTATGAGAAAGCAGAGTCTTTGACATAATGCAAAAATACTCTGTTTCAAGTAGAAAAAGTGTTTTAATCAGGGGTACCAAATAGCAGACATGGGCCTGCCCACAGCTCCTTTTACCAATCCTCTTTTTTTCCTATTCCTACCCTTCCCCCCCCTTATTTTTCCTTTCCTTCTCCCTTTCCCCCAGAATCTCACCAGTCTAACTGGGCAGATCTAAACAGTTCATCCGAGTTAAACCTTAATCTTAATAATAACAACTTTGATTTTTGTCCATCTATGACCTATTTTCCAGTTGGTCAAATTGTATGTTGCAATAAATCACAACCTCTGTTGTTACTTTGCACTTTAAGATCTAATAAAAACCCTAATGAGCCTAAAATTGAATTTGAAGGAATCCGAAAGGAATTTTTATATTTAAGCCAATGTTGCTCTAATAAGCCACATTTAATGGAAGCCATATGGATGACCAAATGTCTGCGTGTATAAGGGGATAAATGTGTTACTGTGACTATACTGTAATTTAGCACAGATGACATTAATACCATATTTGTAAATGTAATAAAATTAATAACCCTTTTCTTTTTTTTTTTTAAACTTTTTTGTCTGAGTATAGATCTATGCTTGTCCCGAGCGTGATATTACCTTTGTTCGCATAAGTGAGATGACAATGTACTGAAAGAAAAAAATATAAAATGTATAATGTTGTGTGAAGTCTGCAAACCTGTTCTGGATCAGTGACTCAAAGTACTAAAGCCAGAAACAACTAGGAAATTAGGAATTTTGGAAGGAGAGGACAGCAAAGGCACACTCCATTTTTCTCACATAAAAAGTTTCCTCTTTTGTTCTTGAATAAAAAAGGAAAGTGGTGTGGACCAGAGGGTCTACCTCTTGAAGACACTAGGCTAAAATGGAGGAGCCAGTACCTGGAGGAGAGATATGGCCCATAGCAATAAAGCATCTACAGATTTTCTTTTACCCACTCTCTGATGAGCAGGGAATACCCCCAGAGATTTACTGTGCCCTCCTCAGTTCCCCATGGAAGGAATGATAAGAGAAGTGATGTAACATCCTGTATAGTTATACTGTGGAGTCCTATCAGTGGCATATCATATCTATCAACCAGGAAACCAATAGCAGGAACAGATAAGCCATAGTTCTACTCCAGGAAAACAGAGCTCAGACATTTTACTGGTGATCTATATGAGTTTTATAATTATATTAGATATTACCATATAGTACCGGAAACTTCCCATTAAGCAGCAACCAGCAAAAGTGTCTTGAAAGAAAGTTCAGTTTAGGTTCTCATTTCAGCTACGTGTGAACCTAGTAACCAGACATTACTCCACTGAGACAACAATTATTTACACGGCAACATATTTTTTAAGTAACTATTTGCTTCTTATAGTAAACCAGATAGCACATATTTTGAAGAACTCTAGTAAGATACATGGAGATATTTTTATAAAGTCAGTGATAAACTGTATTTCTAAAAAATACACCAAAAAAAAAATGCTTTTGGTGAATTATGGCTGGAAAAAGCCTAACAAAAAAAAAAAAACAAGAATTAATGACTGACTACTATAAAGTGACCTAATTCTGCCTTTCTTTGCTACTTCATTATGACGCGTGAAGTGGTACATTATGATAGCAAATATTCTGTTTGCCATTCCGGTTACAGAGCCTTATAAATTCTTTATCTTTTACATAAGAGCATGACATACTATTACACTGACATTGGCATTCATTATCTCTAGAGCTTTGTTTACCTAAATGGCAGTTCCAATTCTTCATTCCAGTTTGGATTTGGTCCATCGGCTGTTGAGGTCTGACATACAGTACGCTGAAATGAAACTTCTACAAATGGCCGGACTAGGACCTGAAATATCACAGGATGAATTATTTCTACCTGTAGCCTATTTAAGGTTCAACTTCAGGTTGTTCCACAAAACAAAATCATCACAACCAATTTCCCAAACATGATGTTATTAATATTATATACCTCACATGAGCCAAACACAAGGCAGAATCTGGCCCACCAGACCATTGCATGTGGCCCTTGCACCTCTGCTGCAGCTGAGGTACCCCCCCTTTGTCTCCACCCCCATCTTGTCTTAGCAGTTGGCAGCAAACAGAAGGACACAACACCTCTGCTAGATCCTGTGCTTCTCATGCAGCCAAGGCTTGTCTTGATAAATTCTGTATACCTCTTAAAAATATTTATAAACATCGATAATCGTACTTTCAATAAAACAAAAAAAACTACCAAACAAAAAACTTTGTAATAAAATGTCCCTTACATCTGAGAAAGATGTGGTAAATAGCCCTAATATTAGGATATCAAAGGTATGCTTGAAATATATATATCCTCCCACACAGCTCTAAACAGTTTCTTGAAATATTGGTAATGATGCTTACCTAAATTTGCTTAAATGAAAAAAATAGCCGATTATGCCCTGCTCCCTGTGCTCCCTTGTTCCATAGGAGCCCTCGATAAATACCTTGTGGGTTTGGGTATGGGATAGAATGTGACCTCCTTCCCATCCTACCAGGATGCAGCACTCAGGCTTGGGCAGCCAATAGCCAGGCCCAAAAAAACTGTAACATGAGGGAAGTCATTAACCCGGTTTACGGTTCTATACCATCTCATTTGCATAGGGTTTGGACTCCCACAAAGGAACGGTGCAGCGGGGAAGTGCAGGGAAGGCAAGTATCAATGGTGGATTATTCTTCCAGGGTCTCTTTCAAGTAAGTGATAGCTGAGTACTGAGCCAGAAAAGCATCCAGAGGGCCACAGATGAGCTTAGAACAGCCTTTCTCAACCAGGGTGCCCAGGGGGTGCCTTGGGGTTTCTTCAGGGGTGCCTTGGCAAAATGTCCAAAACTTGTATACAAGCCAGGGGGTGGAACAAGCCTGCCTTTAAGTTACACAAAGCCACAGGTTTTCACTGTTTACCAATACAACCTTCTAGCCGCCGGCATCCTGACAACCAATTACATCAGGAGGATGTCGGTGGGGTGGGGGGATATAGGGCAGTGGCTGCAGCTTTGGGAACATGTTACATGTTCAACCCTAAAAACTGGTGGAACAAGTAACATGTTCCCAAAGATAAAGTTAGATTACACCAGAATTACATAATTCTTGTCTAAATCTATATGAATAAGTAAAATCAAATATGTAGCTGTGCATGGTAGCAACTCAGCTTCTAAGTTCAAACTTGTTCAATTAAGCTAGGACAAAAAAAAAAAAAAAAAAAAAAAACTGGAAGCCGATTCATTTCTATGCAGTGCTGCACCAGATTTTGCATGCTCCAAATTTACTAAATCAACCCATAGTGAGGCAACTAGAATTTTCAGGAGCCAAGCCTTATTTAACCTCCCGCATATACAGTATTTTACAAAAACAACATTTACATCAAATTTACGACAAAGGTTTGTACCTGATTAACTGACCACTCTGGAGATGGGGCCTGCCCTTGTGGGGAAGCTGTGGTTGTGAACATCTCATTAAATGACCTTGTAGATCTGGATGGCTGTGCTGGTTTGCTAGAAAATAGTATTAAAATGAGAAGATTGTTCAGTGAAAGGAAAGGAGTCCACTCTGGAATGATACATCTTACATAAACTAGAAACTCTGTCAGGTTTTTATTGCTGGCTGTGATCACAGTAAAACACAAAAGATTTGGGCAGAATTCTATGTGGGATGTGTATAATTAACACATCAGGACAATATAATATCAAACCTAAAATGCTCAAGGAAAAAAAAAAATCCCACTACCAGCCCCATGGCGAATGCTCCAGAGCTGCCACGAATATATGTAACAAACAAAAAGAATTACTAACAGAAAGAAAATTCATGGACGTTCCTGCTTTGGAGAACATCCAGGTAAAGGAAAACAGCAAGAAATAATTTCCTGCTCAACTCCAGGCAATAAATCTCCAGGGAAATGCTATACAAATTCAGATTAGACTACAGGAAAAAGAAATTACATAAATAAATTCAAATAAAAGTATGGCAAGCAAGGTTATCATGGTTCTGTCTTGTTTCTGTGTTGCTGTAAATCAGCATATCCTCCACACTAAAAGAGCCATGGCCTATATACAGGTAAACAGAAGTAAGGATCTCACTATTATATTCCAAAAATTGGAACCCCGATCACAAATAGCATAGCAAGAGGCAGCTCTGAGCTGAAACAACTGCCCATCCGCAGTACAGCTATGAAAGCATTCAACAGCGTTTGACATAAAACAACAATTCTAGTATTCTTCAAGTGTAACAATTCGTGTCTACGGAGTTACTCCTCCTAAGGGTGCTTTCACACGGGCGGTCCGTTTTTTTTTTTTTTTTTTTCAGTTCAATCACATTTTTTCAAGAAAAAAAAAACAGATCAGGGGGGGCGTGGCCGAGCCGCGAGGGGGGCGTGGCCGAGCCGCGAGTGAAGATGGCCGCGTAATCACGGAGCTCCCGCCGGCCGTTTCCTACCTTGCTGCCGCTCTGCACTGACGGGTGAGACATCTCCCCTCTGCTATGGGGAAGACCGACAGGGCACCCTCTGGGGCCAGATCGCGGTCCCCGCGGGGTCAGAACGCTCAGGGGAGGCATATAAAGGAGCTCTTCCGCTCCCAGCTGAAAGACGGGCCGCAGCCCTCTCCCTCTGCAGCGTCCTCCCCCTCTCCCCTCCCTCTGCAGTCTCTGACACAGGCTCTGCAAGCACAGCCGAATATGCTGTGCTGGACACAGTGCCACAGCTGGATTCCTCACATGCTACACATTCCCTATCATTAAGGGACCTCCAAGCTGTGGCAGCTGACATAAAGACCACTTTAACCACCACATTAACCTCTGCCCTCTCTGAATTAAGGGATGACCTCCGCTCTATGGGCACAAGGGTGGAGCTGGATACCAGGCAGAATCAGGCGGCAATTTCTGATCTACAACAACAATCAGCGCTGCACGTGTCGACCATTCGAGATTTTTATAGACACATTGAGGACTTAGACAATCGTGGACGCAGACGCAACATTAGGGTCCGGGGCCTTCTTGAATCAGTGGAACCTTGTGATGTCCCTAAAGCGGTAATAGCTATCTTTAATGACCTCCTAGGTCGCCCACCTTCAACCATGATTGCCATTGAACGTGTACACCGGGCGACCGTCCTAGGGGGAAAACACAGACCCTCCCAGGGACGTAATTTGCTGTCTTGAAAGTTACCCGCTTAAAGAGGATATCCTCAAATGCGCCAGGGGGAGAAGACATCTTGCTTATGAGGGGCGGAGATACAGCTATATCAGGACCTCTCCAATCTGACCCTGCAACAAAGGCGGGCGCTGCGCCCCTATTGGATACTCTCCGCACGCGCAACATCCCCTATAGATGGCGGTTTCCGTTCTGCCTTTCTGCTCAAGTGAATGGCCGTAATTTCAACCTACGTGTTCCTGAAGAACTGCCATCTTTTTGCTCTGCTTTGGATATTCCTCCGATTGCCTTACCCGATTGGAACGGGTCTATGAGGTTGCCACGTGCCCCAGATCTGAGAGCTGAAGATGGTGCAACGGGCGGGCCTAACCCTGCTCAGCGACGGCGCCGGATGGTCCCTTCGACACCTCCACGATTCCCTGCAGGGGCCTCTATGGACACTTCCAGTCCCACGGCCTCCCCGGCGCACAGGAAGCCTCGGCACGAGAACCAATGATCCGCTACACCAGCAGGCTTTCAGCCTCCGTTTTTCCAGTTTTCCTGTTGATTTTGTGATTGGCCAGCTACTTTTGCTTTGAGTAGGGCTCTACTGGTTTGCCCCAACGGTTACTGTTGCCTCGTTACAGTCGCTCTCGCAGGCTTTAGTCATCCATGTTGATATGCCACCTCCCCAGGTTTTGGGGTGATATTTATTAGCGTACAGGTCAGGAGACTTGTTCAAGATCGACACCCGGTATACACCCCATTGGTTTGCGGATTCTCCTTGCTCTAACAAGCATACTGCTCTTGCTCTGGATCTCTGCGCCTATCGCATCATGGAGTTACCTCCCCGCAGTATATTGCCTACTGAAGAAGAGTGGTCTTGCTCCTACGGCAGGGGTCTCTATCTCCTTCCGGGTGCCCGGTTCACTTCCTGTCTTAAGCTCCTCTTGTTCCGGTTTGGTGAAAGCTCTCGGGAAGGCCGGTTCCTTTCAGTTTGTACTGCACTACAAGCCCAGGCCGCGACCCGGCTTCATCTGAAGGATTTTTGCAGCCTTTTGGGGTCTATTTGACCGGAGGGAGTTGCCTCTGCTCCTGCTTCGGACACGTGCTCTATATGATACCCGTGGTTACTTTTGATATCCTTTTTGAGTTCTGCACTAGATACGGGATTTTGATGAGGGGCAGTTGTTATTTAGGGGGAGGGGGGTGGGACGGGGGGAGAGGGATCTACCTCACAATGCTGCTGCCAGGGGATTGATGGGAGCCCTGTTATATTCTGAACGATGCCGCGTGAATGACCATCACCTCTGCGCACTTTGTTTGAGGCCTCACGGAGCAGGTTGGTGTACTCCCCTGTGACCTGCTTTTATGTAAGCGCTTACGGCTGTCTTGGGGCTCTATGCTTCCCCCCAGTCCTGGGGTGTGCCCCCCCCTCCTTTCAGCATTGGTTATGGGAGAGGTGCTGCTCATTCTCGTGGGTGTCACAGGGGTTTTGGTAGAATCCGTTCCATATTTTGCTATAATTAGATGAGCTCGTCTCCACGGGGTAACAGTTCTGGCACTGAGTCTAGGGATCCTGAGTAGTACGGATGCCTGAAGCTGGGGTATACTGTTTTCTAGGTATTGAAATTTGTTTTTTCCTGTATGGCATTTGTTCATATGTTTATGTTGTATTATTGCTTCTTTAATTGATAAGCCTGTATTACTCCTTACGGCCTCTCACAGATCTACTGTTTTACATGTCCTGCCTGTAGGTTCTTGTTCTTATACGGATATAATTTGCCCTGTCCTCATGCAGGCTTGGTTAGCCCCCTCGATTTTTCTCAATCCGTATAATGGAATATCTGTGACCTATTATCCCGTCACTGTTGCCCCTTTTTGCCAGCGTGCCCGCCGCGGGCACCCGCATACGCCTCCTGGCTTATCACCTCTTGGGGTTGTCCAAGGTCTTCTCCCTTTTGGCTTGGCCTTTACTGTACACAGTATTACATGCCTTGCTTGAGGCCCCCCTTTTTCAACACTCACCCTCCTTTAGTTTTGTCTTTTTGATTATGCACTTTGCGAGGCGGGACCGGCCGGCCGGCGGTTGCTTCACTCTTGGCTCAACGCTTACTTCGTTCCCCACACAGTGAGCTCTGTGAGCTTTCACTGACCTCCTACATTAGGCTACTATTATTAGTTTCCTCTCCTCTACTTTTTCTTTTCTCTCGTTTTCCTTCCCTTTTTTTTTTTTTGGCTCTGATCTCTTTCTTCTTCTAACTTTCCTCCCTCTTTCTGTACTCTTCCTTTTCATAATGGAACTAGCTGGTCTTCTCTCCCGAGCCGTGTAGTACTTTCAACCCCTTTTCTTCTCTCTCTTTTTTTTTTTTTTCTTCTTTCTTCTCTCTTTCTTGGGAGTTCTCTTATTCCTTCTCTTTTTTCTTGCTCTCTTACCCCCTTACTTCTCTCCCTTTTCTCCCTATACTCCCACCCCCCCTTTTTTTTTTTTTTTTTTTTTTTCTCTTCTCCCTGCTCGTTTTGTAGATACATTGTAGATTTCAGGCAGATACATTTGCAGTTGCAACACTTGCAATTACATGACTCCTGGCGCACACTCCACCCCACTGTTAAGGATTACACATTCTTTTCTCCGCCGCACAATAAGTATTCTAGGATTGATTACCTTTTTTCAGTGTCCACAGTCGGACCTCCCATTTTCTACTTGCTGCATCTATAGAGCCGATGGTTCTCTCCGATCACCACCCCTAACCGTAACCTTGCGGCTCCCGGAGAAACTTGCTCGCTCGAAGCTGTGGCGCTTAGACGCCTCGCTTCTTGCAGGACTGTGCTATTGAACAAGATATTCGCTCTCATCTGTGTGAATATTTCTCTTTGAATGGCTCTTCGGATACCTCCCCCCTTACGCAATGGGAAGCTCATAAATGTGTTATCCGGGGTTGCCTTATAGCGGCAGCAACGAGACGTAAGAAAGACAGACAGCAACGTTTGAAGCTACTTACAGATAGGATACGTCTCTCTGGAGAGGGCACACGATATAACAGGACTCTGGCTGCGTCGACTCTTTCGGAACTCACAAGTGCTCGCTTGCGACTTCTTACTGAGCTGGGCAAAGTGGTCAAGAAAAGATTTCATTCCTCTCCCAAAAGCTTTATTATGAGTTTGCCAATAAAAGTGGGAGGTTTCTTGCTCGGGCTCTTCGGGAAAAAACGATCCCATATGACTATACATAAAATAAGAGGCCCTGACGGTGTGATGGCCACGTCCAATCCTGATATTGCCTCCTCTCAGTTCGAACATTTTTTATAAGTCCCTTTATAATCTTCCACCAGAACGTCCCCCGATGCACATTGACAGGCCTTAGAGCGTCCCTCA